CGCGTGGCGGTACGGTATGCACGCGCCGTGCTCAGTGAGGGTAGGCAGGCCCGCTGCGCTCGCACGCGTGGCGGTACGGTATGCACGCGCCTGATGGAGTGCTTGCTGCCCGCAGGGTGCTGGACCGGTACGCGGGCATCTTCACCCGACGCGCGGCGGCCTTCGCGGGCCAGCTGCGCGCCGAGGTGCCGGCCGGCCAGAGCTTCAACGTCATGAGCAAGCTGGGCGCGTTCGTCGTCGGCAGCATCATGGAGACGGCCTTCGGCGTGGACGCCACCGCGAGCGAGGTGCTGGATCAGCTGGTCCGGGCCTCCGAGGACGCGTTCTTCATCGTCGCGTACCGCGTGCTGCACCCGTGGCTGCTCCTCGACTGGCTGTTTAGGATGAGCCGCCTGGGGCGGCTGTCTCGACACCACGAGGATGTCATCAGCAAGATGACTGAGCGGGTCATGGAGGCAAAGAAGGCGCAGCTCGAGAGGAGGACAGAGGTGGCCGAGAGCGGCCAGCAGGACAACGCCGAAAACGACGAGGACGACAGCGTCGTGCGCGAAAAGTACACCTTCCTCGACATGGCGCTGGGTGACAAGGCCCACGCCCTCTCTGACAAGGAGATCATCGAGGAGGTGAGCACTTGCTGCGGTTGCTGCTGACACCCGCCCGCCCGACCCGCGCGTTCACCCGATCGCCCGTCGTTCCAGGTCCGCACACTGATAGCCGTGCAGCAGACGACGGCGTCCACGCTCAGCTTCATCATGGTGATGATGGCGCTCTACCCAGAGGTGCAGGAGAGCGCGCGCGCCGAGGTCCGCGAGCTGGACGCCGTCCAAGGGCTGCACCCGCTGGAGCGCCTCAAGCGCCTCAAGTACGTGGAGCGGGTCATCAAGGAGACGCTGCGCCTCTTCCCCATCACGGCCATCTTCGCCAGGAAGCTGAAGAAGCCGGTGAGCGCTGTCTGATCTAGGCCGGGAGGGGTCGGATGGCGTCGCGCCGCGGAAGCACCGCATAGATTAACCCGTGCCATTCCCCATTACAGTTGCACCTACCGGACCAGAAGACTATCCCCGCCGGCGTGATGGTCGCCACGTCGCCGTACGTGGTGCACCGCGACCCCCGCCACTGGCCCGACCCCGAGCGCTTCGACCCGGACCGCTTCCTGCCCGACCGCTGCGCGGGCCGCCACCCCTACGCGTACGCGCCCTTCAGCGCGGGGCCCCGGAACTGCATCGGCCAGCGCTACGCCATGCTGCAGATGGTGGCCGTCGTGGCCGCCGTCCTGGCCCGCGTGCGCGTGCACCCGGGGGAAGGCTGCGAGTCGCGCGCCGCCCTGCGCGTCAACGCAGACGTCTTCCTCACCATCGAGGGCGGGTTCAACGTGCGGCTCGAGCCTCTGGAAGGGTGCTGAGGGGCCTGTGCAGGTGAGCCATCTCATCTCTCTCTCCAACTGAGGAGTAATATTACAGCCTAACACAAAAGCAGAGGCATGTATGCAGAAAGCTGGTTGATAAGATTATATGAACAAGTAACTGTGTGAGAAAAAAAACAGGGTGACAAATAATGTTGATTTTTAATTGTTGAATCTATGCAGGAGCTTCCAAGAATCTTTACATTAGATTGAACAAAAAACTTACATGTGCTTGTGTCATCTATTTTAAATTATGTAGATCAACAGTTAAAACCTTGAACTGTTTATCAGTAAGCATTCGCCATTTAGCACCAAGTAACTGTGATACTTCTTTTTCTGTTGCTTCATAAGAGCGAGAAGAAACTTTCAGCCATTGATAAAACTCTTCACTCCAATCTGGACTCCTGGGCCAGTCACAGCGTAGAATAACGGCATTGCGTCTTATCATTAAATTCTGGAGGTTGCAGCCAGTTTTAGCGAGGAGCAGCACTGTAGCTGTAGATATTCTTTCACGAATCACCTGCAAAAAGACAACATGGTATTTAGCTTTTAGATCCATTTAACAAAAGCATAATAGTAAAATGGCAATTTGTTGTTAAGTTCTTTTCTATGCTACTCTAATTGGATTAAGTTTCACAAAAAAAATAAAAAAATGCATTACTTACTTGTTATTTGAATTGTTAGTTAATTTTAAATCCATGCATATAGCAAGCTTGACACACAAAAACCAGCATTCTACATGTCCATCATTGAAATTTTAGGTGAAGATAGATAACACATTCATTATTGTCATTGATTTTACCAAAGTATGCAGCCAAACAGATTGACGAACGAGAAGAAGAAGTAATGCATCAACTCTTTCATGAAATGATCTAGAGCGCTGAAATCGAGGGAGTCCAAGGTGACCATACGCCCTTAAGTCTTGAGAATACAGATCAATTATAGTCATTACTGACTGAGATTGAATCTACAACAGAAAGAAATGATTACGAAAGAAAATAAATTTACAGATCTGTGGCTAAGAGAAAATTATTTCCCCTTACCTTTGTTAAGGGAGAATTATAGATTATGGATCTGACAGGAGCCTTCTCTTGCCAAACAACTTCTCTCTCTTTTAGTGACTCTACTTTTAAGTGGACAGAAAGACCTGGATTGTCTTTTCTACACATTTTCCATGCTTTCCCTGCCACTGGAAACAACATTAACTCAGATGGCGTGAAAGAGTTTTGCAAAATATGAAGGTGGCGAAGTTTGGTTTGACCTAGAAGAATGAGTGCATCTTCTCCTAAATTTTGTGGACTTATTACAAGCACCTGCAATTTAGGGGGAAAAAAATAAAACAAGATTGTAAGGAAAGAAAACTGAAGACACAGGAGTTTGTAGATTAGCAATGAAGATATGACTTAGCAAACAAATACGATTACAGCATGTACCTCTAAATTCAAGAAGACCCCAACATGCAAAAGTTGACAAGGATATTCGGTAGCATTGACTAGAACTAACTCTCTGAGAGTAAGGGTACATAAATCACAGACTTCATCTAAGAGTTTCTGACCATCAAGAACATTAAGCATTAGATCTCTAAGCTCCAAACGCCGAAGAGATGTCAGAGTCCTCATAAGGTTTTTGAGAGATTCAAGCACTTTACCTGAAAGTAAAATACATACTTAGTATAGGTGTAAGAAATTA